AAACATACCACACAACATGAATCAAACATGCACTTTATTCATTTACACTAAATGTCAAAAGTACATCAAAACTGATTGGAGCTAAGGGCATACAAAACTGTCTAACAACCTCATCCGGGGATAAGGAATTCCCGACTTTTCCCTGTCTTGAGGCAATCACTTTTAAACCTAAGAGATATTTTAGAAATGGAATTATGTGAATTTGAGTATATTTTAGAAATGGGATTAAGGGATCCTAGGGTTTTGGAAATTTTGGGTAATGGAATTATGGAAACCCCAAGTTGCTTTCTATTTTCAAGGGCATTTTAAAAATTAACATTAAACCTAAGGCTTTGATGATGAAGATGATGATGATGATGATTAGACCTCTTAATGGGCTGGGTAGCCTGACAGGCCAAACCATTCTTAGTCGGGCTTGGACATGAATTTAGGTTTGCAGGTTTAGGTGCAGGTCCAAAACACTATACTTAACTTTTTGCTCAGGCTTTTTTAGAAAACTCGACCCGATCCTAAGCCCTATTTGATAGTATCAATTTCCTTAAATTATCCTTACTCGACCTGATCCTAAGCCCTATTTGATAGTATCAATTTCCTTAAATTATCCTTACTATTTAGCTAATTGACTAACTCCACACTTACTATTTAGCTATTGTCTTAAAGTACCTTTAAGTTTTCTAACAATTGTCTAAAATCTTCCTTGTTAATTTTCTGTCACACTTCGTTCACATATGATATCACGTAATTATTTTAAAATTTCTAAAATACCTTTATTGTTCAATAAGAATCTAGAACAAAATGAGAGATCAGTGATCAAACATTCCCTCTATCTAGTTATCACCATATATTTTTTGATCGCCCTTTCAGACCTGCAAGGATTCAATGCCATAGAACATCAAGCCTTTAACTTCACTTTTGGAAACATTGGTGGAACCCAGCTTGACACCCAGATCGGCTGCGAGTACAATAGAGAGAATATCTAGAAAGACTCAGAGGTAACGAGTCTCGCCCCATCTTCTCCGACTAGATCCCCTCGGAGGCCTATCTACTATGTGCAAAGCCCATCACAAGAATATCTAGCAGAACTGTTTTATACTGCTAGATGTTGGTTGGCTGTTGCATGATTGGAGAAGATGAACGGAGAACAGGGTTAGAGAGAGAGAGAGGGGAGCAGAGAAGGTTTCGCGACTATTCAAGAAGCCAATGGGTATTCTTTATCCGGTCTTCATTCTTGATCCACAATTTCTCGAGCTTGACCCGGCAGCTTTTTCCATTGGTTCTGCTCGTGCTGGTTTGAATTGGATTCAATTCTTGCTCGAGAGCCTCATTGATCTCAATTCAAGTCTCTAGAAACTTGGGTCTTGTTTGTTAGTGTTTGAAGGTGCCTATCGAGGTTTTGTTCCACCTCTTCAAGTAAGCTTCTTTTGTCTGCATTTTAATTCATGTTTTATACGGTAGGAAGAGGGAAAAAAAAAAAGAAAAAAAGAGACATCGACTAGTAAGAAAAAAACAAAAACAGAATGCTTAAGTCGGACATCAAAATGATTCTGAACAAACCTATTCAAAGTACATCGACTAGATCCAAAAGTTCAAGTTATTATGATCACCTGCATCAAAAAAAAGTTCAAGTTATCTATCCTTTGTTTCCTGAAAACCAGTCATCTAAGAAAAGAAAAAAACAGAAACAAAATTGTTGGTTTTTAATCTCATAAGAGATTAAATCCAATAGGTTTGATTGGTCAATTACATGAGAAATTGCACTTGCACACTTGATTGAAAAATCAGTTTTCTCTTACAAAAACCCAGTTTTGAACTTGTCCCACATTGGAAAATTATAAGTTTTGTTTTCAGTATTTCAATAGAAGCTGATTTACACTCCTTAGAGTTAGTAGAGGAGAGTATGGGGATTCGATACCACGCAACGCGCGTTTACGCGTGTGTGCGGCGCAATGAGGCG